CAATCTGTAATCTTGCCCTTGACTTTAAGATTCAAAGATATATCTTAGTGATATTTTATAGAAGAAGTACAGTCTTCATAGAAGTATAATGATCTAATTCAGTTTTAAGTAGCTTGCAGAGAACTTGTAGTGTTATATCTGGATTTAGGAACTTACGTCTCCTAATAACAGAAGAGTATGAAGCTAAATTGATAGACTGAAAGGTGAAGTGGATAAATACATTGAAATCTTCAGATATCAATGTCAGTAATTAATTAAATAGGTGGAAAATCAGTATGAATATAGAAGATTTGTACAGTATTATCAAGCACTTTGATCTAATGAGCAGTTATGAAACACTCTACCCTAACAACAGAATATCTTTTTTTAAGCACACGTGGAAATTTACAAAGATAGAACATATACTGCTCATAAAATAAAACTTTAATAAATTTAAAGTAAGTGAAATCATACAAAGCTATCATCTTCATTTTAAAAAAGGATTATTTATGCATACAGAACTGGGGTACAGGCCAGAGGTACAGCAGGTAAGAGGATTCACCCGAGATAGAGAGGAGAACATAAAAGGCAGATGTACTGAAATACACTGCTGAGGGGAGCAGAGGGTGAGTCAGGAGAGGTCTGCTGCACCATGTGGGTCACCTTCCTATGGGGATCGAACTCATGTGGCAGTGGCCATGGTAGCTTCATAGTGCCGCACTTCAACCCATTGTGCCACCAGGGAAGGTCTTTGTCTTCAGTTTTCAGTTGGAAATTAATAATAGGAACTTGGAAAATACCCCAATATTTGTAAATTTACAGAAATTTATAAGTTTTAACCTATGTGTCAAAGAGAGACGCTCAAGGGAAATTAGAACATATTTGAATTAAATGAAAATGATACATGAGCAAAATTTGTGGGGTGTGCCTATATCAGTGCTTATTGAAAAGTATCTAGCATTGAATGCTTATCTTAGGAATGGAAATAAAAGTCTCACACTAACAATCTAAACTTCTGCCTCAATATAAGAGCAAATTCAACCTAAACCAAGTAGAGGTAAAAATTGAAACCAGTATAAACAAAATTGAAGAAAATCCATGAAACCAAATGTAGATTATTTGAAATGATCAAGAAAGTTGATAAAATTCTGTCTAGACTGACTGAAGAGAACCAGCAATTACCATATTGAGAAATGACATGGACTTTCTAGAGCTATAGAACAGTGGTCTCTTATTTTGGGTTTATCTGATTCCTTATATTCCCTGTAAGCTAGATTCAGTTAAACATTTCAAACATTTAGATGGTAAATAAGAATGTAAATTTTATTTGTTTTAACTCAGTGACTACTTAAGTTGCCATTATTAATGAGGCTGTTACTTATAAGGACCCGGTTTCTTAATTGTAACTAGTAATTAATCTATTGAAGGTACATCTGTACTAGATATTTTGTTCTGTTTTCACCTAATGGTTATAACATCCACTGATTGGGTATCCAGATTGGTGGTTTTAAATTTTTCTCATTTTCTACACTTATCAACAAGTGTTCCTCTGTTAAGAGACCCTTTCCCTCCTTCTAAATCTCTCTCTTGTTCATTAATTTTTCTGTATCATTTGAGATGTTGGACTTTGTTTAATGTTTCATTTATTTTCAATGGCTTGAATGCTATTGCTATAGTGATATTCCATAATTATTTTACAATAATAAGCTTTAGAACAGCAGATTTTAAAAGATGAATTTTTAGTTCATTTTCAGATTTGATGTTCTTTAAAATTCATTTCTGCAATATACTTATTGAACAATTATTTTTAACAAAGTTCTATTTTATGCTGACTCTTGACAGTTTGAATTTGATATTTTGATACTAAAAATTATTGATTTGTCGATCTTAGGATTTAATTTATTGTTAAATTAATATTTATTAGTTTAGTACATTAAGTATTGTTTTGTATTAAATAATATTCAGCAAAGTGTAAATAAAACCAAATGCTAAGATTAAACCACCCTTTTTAAGTATTTGTTTTACATGTTTTATGTCATCTCCAGGAAGCACATAAATGATCTATACTACAGTTGTATATTTGACTCTTTCCCCTTTAAGTGTGAAAGGGCACGAATGTGTCTTTCTGGATAATTTTTCCCAGCGAGACTAACTGTATTTGTTTAGCTTTATCTGTTTAGAAGCTCTTTGCACCACGCATGACTAGTTATCATTTAGGTTTTTCTAACAACTCTGTTGGCTCAGAGTAGAAACAAGGAAGATTATAACAATTTAAAGCTCCTGAACACTGAAGGGACTAGCTTTTGAAGTTCTTGGGATCTTTGAATGAGGAAGTAATAATACCCACAATGTCAGTAGTTGGGAGTAGATATGCATAAGAGTACTGCAGTGGTCCCAAGAAAGAGATGAAGGCAAAGTGAAAATGACAATGAAGGTAAATAGGACTAGGCAAATTCAAAAAAAAGATATGCAGAAGAAAAATCTCTTAAATTTTTGTGATTGAACGGCATGGGTTGAATAGAAGATGGAGGTTTTCACTGGATCATTTGTCAGATGGTAGGATCCTTAGCAGTAAGTAAAAGAGGAGAAAAAGGTGGGAATTCAGTTTTGACATGTTGAGTGTGAGGTGACTATGAGCCCAACCAGATGATGAGATCAGCAAGAAGTTCTGAATATAGATTTGTAATAGAAGGATCTCATCTGGCAACAGGAACTGAGAGCTGCCATTTCATTCTGTTCTGGGTCTTTCTCCCCATGTCTCCTTCCTTCCTCCATGTCTCCATTCTTTCTTCCCATGTCTCCCTCCTTCCCTCACTCTCTCACCTGTCATCTCTGGAATTCCATCATTGTATGTTTTCTCTCTGTCCCTCTTTCCTCCACCTTCCCCTTTTTATTATTTTATAGATTCTTCCTTGGTGATTTCATCTATCTAGATTATATTTAGACATTCTCTGACTGTCTTTATATACAGGCTGATACAGTGAATTAAATCACATAGGATGAATATACAAAGTAAGATGAATATAAAGATTGAGAGAAAAGTCACAGTAATAAAACCCTGGGTACTGCTGATTTATAGCACATATACATCCAAAGCATACTTAGCTAAATGAAGTAGCAGAGAATACAGAAACTCAAGAGGCAGGAGAACCATGGAAGAATTAATACCTCAGTGTCTAAAAGGAGGAGAAATTTTAAGTAAAAGTGGTCAGTATGTTAAGTACCTTAGACTAGTGAAGGTAAATGCTTATAAGAGGGTTCTTCATTGAGTTTTTATAGTGTTACTGGATATTGATACTGTCATCAATTGAAAAGCAGTTTGATCAAGGGAGGAGGACTAAAGGTAATGTGTAACAGGTTGAGGAGCAAATGGTAAGTATGAAAGGAAAAATAACATGTCGACTGTGGAATCTAAAATTTATTTCTTGGATAATAGAAAACAATGAGTTTGCAAATTACTGATAGCAATTTGTTTCCAGTATTAATGCAAGTTTTTCCCTCATCAGGTCAGTTGGTTTATATCAGCCAACTCATTGATTCCATTCTCATATGGACCATTTGGGTTTCATATGCTCCTAGGGATTTCCTAATATAAGTATGGCAAATAATCCTGAACAGCAGTTGTTAGAACTTTTGATTAAGGGCAGAAAAGCCTAGCATTCCTTATAACATAACTGATTTCATTAAACAAAAAATTATGGCTCCTGTAGTTTGTATGTCATCATTCCAAAAAAGTGCCTTTTCCCTCTTTGGTAAGGTTAAATATTTGCTACATTGACATACCTTTTGCAGATGTACTTCTTGATTGAAAAACTGAATAGTACTAGAAAATTACTAGGAGAAACAATATGTGAGTGAATTGCAAAGTCCTTTTTGTGTAACTGGGGCAACAAACTACTATGTATTTTGATTAAGTATTTAAGAGTTTTTAATAGAGTTTGAGTTTGCTATTTATTTTGTTTCTATCATATGGGAAAATATTCCTCATGTCATTAAGAATCTCTTCTTCGTGAGTATTTTGAAGTTTTGAGTTGACATTTTTTTCTACTGCATGAACTAAATATGAAGTGCATTTATTTTACTAAATCTTTCTTAATGGCAAATTATGTATCGCTTTACTATTAGAGCAGTTTTTGTATAGAAACTGGTTTAAAAGTATTTAAGTGGCCGCACTGGTATTCACATTGTAGAGAAGAGGCTGCATTTGCATTGAGTAGGCAAAGAAATGGAGAGGTTTCTTGCATCCATGGTATATTTTTTGTGCAGGATCTGTTTTTTTCTCCATCTACCAGTCATTTTCTTGCATATCTTTAAAGAGATCTACATTGCTAAGAGTATATACATTATGTTCTTTTGCAATTTAGGATAGTTCGCATTGTGGGAACCTTGTTTTTATTTTCATTAACTTAACTAAAATTGTTAGTGAATGTGTGTATTTGTCTTCTGTAATTTATAAAAGTGCTGCCCAATGGCAACATAATGTGTATGCTGAATGGAGTCATTCATAATTATAAATAAAATTAATTTTTTTTGTTTAACTCATGTATTAAAATATTTTAAATGGAATCTGTATATAAGAATTACTAATTAGATATCTTTTTATTCTTTACTCAAAATCCAATTTGCTTTGTAAACTTAGATCCTTTCTCAGCTAGTCACATTTCTAGTGCTTGGTAGCCACATGTGGCTAACACCTACACTATTAATTACAATTCAGATTTATAAAGTCAGAACAAATGGATAGGTGGACAGATGAAGGAGGTATTTACCATCTACAGATTGAATCTGATCAGTGTAATAATGAGTTTCAATATCCAATATGTGCTTCTTTATACACAATAACATCTGGGGTTTTTATTCATTAGAGAGTTAATCAGAGAAGATATGATGAAAATGTTCAATAATTATTGCTTTAACTATTTGGTTATCCTTAATAACTGTGTTCTGCAATTACATTTATTTTTATTGTATATACATGTTCACAATTCCATGAGATTTCACTATATGTCTGTAACTTATAGCACAAATGCAGTTCCAACTACAATGAAGACTTTGTGCTGCAGCTAGAGAAGGAATTGGTCCAAGCACGTTTGAGTGAAGCTGAGTCTCAGTGTGCGCTAAAGGAGATGCAGGATAAAGTTCTGGATATAGAAAAGGTGAGAATAACAAAGGTCGTCACTCTCCAATTAGAGAGCACATGATAAGAGTTTCTGAGCAGTTTAATTAGACTTGGTGCTTTTATACATTAAGAAACCTCACATATTCATTACTAAGAAAAAACGGGAAAAAATGTATAATAGTCTTTATTATTTGCTGTTGGCATACTACTCAAAATTTCATATTTAAGGGTGGAAATGGAGATTAGACTTCTTTTACAGGAAAACAACTAGGATATGTTAGCTGTAAATACTATTTAGGTGTAGAAGAGAAACTTTAGGGGCTAGAAATTAACTGGTGTCTTCAAATATTTTTCTGAAAAAAGATAGGCTATGACAGATACATAACATTTAAGGAAATATATCATTTGAGTGACCTACTTTCCAAGCCACAGCAAGCCATCTCAGTATATGTTAGGAAGATCTTAGCCTGAGGTGTTCTTACAAAGCTAACTTACCTTTCTTCAAAGCTATTAAAGAACTTTAATCATTAGCTAAGTAGTAGGAATAGAAACACTTAGATTTCTTATTGTCCTCAAATTTGATGAGAGTCACAAACTCTGAATCAGTTTTTCCATATTTAAAATCATTGAGTGGGATCTGTGTTGAACTTGTTCCTAAGTGTAGTTAGTTATGGAATCCAAGATAATGGATAAAACAGATGGCCCCAAGGTGGTCTTAAGTATTTCTTGATGAAATAAAGCAGGGTGACTATAATCAGTGTTAGAATAATGTTGCCAGAAATCTACTTGTTATTTTGTATTATTTTGGGAAGTTCTCCTATTTGTGGAAGCCAGCAGGAATGCTGTAAAAAAAAAAAAAATGCCTCACAGAATATTATTCTCCAAATTATGGGTCTTCAAGGCTCCATGATAGAACAATGTAACATAAACAATTATGCTAAGTGAAATGACAAGCTACAGCATTAGCAATTAAAAAACTAAAATTTGTGTCTTTAATTTTTGAGTATTTAGTATAAAAAAGAATGTTCTTGATTCCAATTTAAAAATAAATTTCTTAAAGTATTACTCGTTATAGAGCAGAAAGTAATTTTAAAGTTTCATCCTTCCTGTGGTTAGCTTCATGATTCAGAACTCTTTATGCAATTTATACATGCAGTAAATTTCTGGTTTTCAACTGTGAAAATAAAAGTCTATAAAAATGAATAGTTGGCAAGAATAGCTTTAAATCTATAATCTCTACGAACTAAACCTTCACGTTCACCATGAAATATTTTAGAGGTAGAAAATTCCATAGATTCAGGACTTCAATCTCAATAGTATCTCAGTTTACATAATGAGTTGTACTCGGCCTTACTTTGGATCTCTTGGTCACTCCTTAGAACAGCTTAATACGGGGGTATCCTATATCCTGAGGTTGATCTTTTAGTATGGTAGGAAATTGATGTAAATGTTACGTACCCTGGAAAAAAATACTTAGATCACCTTGGTATAAGTTTCTGGACTACTAATCTAAATAATGACTAGTGTTCAGAGATTTCACATGCTTTTCCAAAGAGACAGCTAGGAAAATACAAAACATTTTTTTTTCTTCTCCATAGATCTCATACTGTGTTTGGGGTCCTAATCAGAGGCTAATAAATTTATTGCCATGTTGAAATTTTTTTAATCTTGTTGCTCTATAACCCTGAATAGTATTTTATGAAACAAAACACAGACTTTCTGTATTCTCAGAATTTAGTACAGTTACCCTCATTCATTCCTGGTGGAAATGTAAAACAGTGCACTGCTCTGAAAAAGTGACATTTGTAGAAGTTATCATCTGATCCAGTATTTCCTTGCCATATATTCAGGAGAATTAAAAATATAGATTCATACAAAACTTTACACAAATATCCACGGCTGCATTATTCATAATTGCCCCAAAAGTAGAAATAACCTAAATTTTCACCAGTTGATGAATAAAGATGATATATACATACAGTGGAATAATATTTGGTGATAAAAAGCAATGAATCTTGAAAACATTATGCCAAGTGAAAGAAACTAGTCATAAGGTAACATATTAAATGATTCCATTTGTACAAAGTGTTCAGAATAGGCATCCATAAAGACAAAAGTAGATAAATGGCTGTCTGGGACCAGGGGGAGTAGAAATGAAAAGTTACTGCTAGTGGGGGTGTCCAGGTTAAAATGTTCTGAAATTAGACTGTGATAATGGTTGTACAATCCTGTGAATACTTTTAAAAGTCACTGAGTACATTAAAAAGGTATGTTTTTTGAAATGTGTATTATATTTCAACAGAACTGCATAATATTAAGTACCATTACCAACAAGCCATAATAGCTCTTACTATGTATGCTGTTTTATTTTATTCTTTAAATTAAAAAAACCTCAATTCCTGGTGGCACCCTCAATTGAGGTTAAAGCACAGTACTAAGAAGCTAAAGCCACTTCACCATGAATTCGATCCCCACCCCTGGAGGTGACCCACATGGTGTGGCAGACCTCTCCTGACCCGCCCACTGCTCCTCTCAGCAGTGTACTTTGTCACACGGCCTGTTCTGCTCCCCACTCTGTTTCTGGTGCATCCTCTCACTGCCCCTGCGTCTCTGGCCTGAACCCCAATTCTGTATGCATAAATAAGTAAATCTTTGGAAAAAAAAAAACCTCAATTGAATTTTTTCTTGCTTTAGAAAAACAACTCTTTTCCTGATGAGAATAATATTGCAAGGCTTCAGGAAGAACTCATTGCTGTGAAACTGAGAGAAGCAGAAGCTATCATGGGCTTGAAAGAACTTAGACAACAAGTCAGAGATTTAGAGGAACACTGGCAGGTATGTCAAAATATCTTGGGTGCTTTCTGAAAGAGTAAAATGGATATCCCATTTGTGTGAATTTGAAGAAGCCTTAGAATTTGAATCTAAAGTAAGAAAGACCCTGTTTAATGTACATAGTCAACAGCATTTATAAATAGGCAGTACCTTTAAACTGTTTCTTCCTTTTAAATTTTTGTAAGAGATAGAAGAGATCAACTTATTTTTGTTGTTGTTTACTGTTATATGAATTTATCTAAAAAACTGTATGAACTATCCCTTCTGCTGATACAAGTTCATTTTTGGTCAGTGAAATATTAGAAGGATGACACCAATACACTTTATCTATAAATTTTTAACTTCTTTTGAAAGTAGGTTCTCTCGCAAAATAAATCAGACATTTATTATATGTTCACAAATTTATGAAGGAATCTGTTGAGAAAGATCAAAAAAATGAGAATCTATAAGACAAAATGGAGGAGGAAGGGAAGAAATACAGAAGCTACAAGTAATTTGGGCCTACCGGGTGGTATAGAGGTTAAGTCTTAGTGCTATCACTGATATGATCTGAATTCAATCCCCAGCCAGGGATTTAACCCACATACTGCGCAGCAGACCTCTCCTGTCTTACTTGCTAACCCCTTAGCAGTATATTTCAATAGCTTCACCTGTTCTCCCACTCTATTTCTGGTGAATCCTCTTACTCCCCACACCTCTAGCTTATACCTCAGTTCTTCTATGCATAAGTAAATAAATAAATCTCTTTAAAAGTAGCTACACATAATTTTAGAATAGTGAGCTTGATTACAATTTGGAGTGGAGGGGAAATGCATGTAGCAAAGACTGGAATTGGTCCTTGAGATTACCGTAGCTTTTTAAAAAGATGTATTTTATGAAAGTATTAGTTACCAACTATATTCTCCGACCACGAAGGAATCAAACTAGAAATAAACCATATGGAGAAGGCAAGAAACCCACCTACCACGTGGAGA